TATATATATACCAATGGTTTTGATATAGAAAATAATAAATATATGCGATTCAAATTCAGGATCATTTGAAATCAAGTCCATAAGATCTTTCATGAATGAAGAGGACAATGAGATGGCATGCATGTAATCGTTTAACATGTACATTTCATCTGGACAATGTCAACAAAACTTACATGTTAAATTGGTCCACAAGTTAACATGTCACCTTTCTGTAAAAGGATAATGACTTGATATTTATATTAAAAATGGATAATCTAAGTGATATAAATAAATAAATAAAAACATGTTATATATTGTGTGACCAATGAGTAAATGGATTTTCTTCTCTTAATAATTATAATAAATATAGTTTGATGCAATTTTTGTAACATGTTATTAAAAAAAAAAGGAAAAGAAAAAAAATAACATAATCACGGCATTTGTATGGTCCATTACAAGGTGTTAGAGATTATATTAAATATAATGATTTAATGTACAGCACAAACTTTTAATGCATATTTTAAAGCTTTGCGTATTAGTCTTTAATATTAGGCAGACAAAGACGTGTGTAAATATTTGAATATTTCTCGCCATTGTGCTTTTATTAGGTCAAAGTCAACTGATTTTGTTTGAACTTTGAAGTTTATAATGAAAAGACTATTCATACCCGGTGGCGGTGGCGGCAAATTCTGTGGTTGTGGTGGCGAAGATGGTTGTGGGGGGATGGCTGGAGTAGTTGCATTAAAAAACCGACTTGTATCATACCTGAAATTACACATAGGTAGTAAAATTCTCCCCCCTACTCTCCCATTAAACCAAATCCCGATGCGATTAATGGCACCCTCCAAACAATCATTACATTGGATCTCTGTTAAGTCTGGTGTACACTGCACAAGCCCATAGATCGTTGTGAAAGCAGGCCCCGACGTGTTTCCGCTGGCAAACTTCAGTAACGGACCACCGGAAGCCGCCCTGGTTCTCAGGCCATCCATTAATGGTCTAAGGGCACTATTGAACTCTTCAATATTTGACGCGTTATTAGGCTCAGCCGAAAACACATAAAACCTTATCGCAGTGCTTCCCAATATTGTCGCATTGGAGTACTTCAACAAACAGTTGTCGTAGTATCCTATTGCTTCCTTTTGATTAGGGCAGATATCTCGCAACTTAACAACGGAGTCATTCAGACAGCTGCGACAAACAGCTGGATTGACGTCGCCTCTACAAAGGGCGACTGAGTTAACTCTGTCGTTGCCTTCTCCAGTGGAACGGTTGAAGAAACCGAAGCCGGAGTTGGTGGTGGGGAGGACGGTGAGGGTGGTGTCGAGATTTCTTTGGTATGTACTGTTTACTGTATAGTTAGCAGCACTATCGCAGAAATAGGAAATGAAATCGGGTTGAGCTAAGGTGATGGTAGTGATAAAGTATATGAAAATAAAAGAGAACGAAAAGAGGAGTTTTCCGGCGAGTATCAACATGTTTTGTTGTGGTGGAGGAGGGAGGAGAGGGGAGGGGATATAAATAGTTGTGTCATAAAAGGTTCGAAACTAATCTCTGTTGACTGAGTCGAAACTCAAACAGTTCCGCACCACAGCATTCCATTTATGGAAATTTCCTTACGTTTCCTTTTGGAGTTACAAAATTTTATACTTCCTCGGTTTAGTTGTTTCATTTTAGAAAAAGGAAAACTTAAAATACCCAAATTTCAATTTGTTCCATTAAATCCATATTTGATTAGAACAAGCGTTTATAGCATCAATTTTTTTTTAAACAAAATTCTAGGAAAGCAAAGTTTTGTCAAACAAAGACAGATGATGAAGTTTGGGACCGGATACTTGAAAGGTTGATCCATGAAAAGGACAAGAGGACCAAAGTCCAAGGTAAGAAAAAAGGTGGGAGTTTTGTGATACCTACAACATCACTCGTAGGGCTTAGTTGATCTCTCCCCTTTCACTTTCAATCCTGCCAACTCTAAACACATGGAAATGGAACCTCCCATCCCACACACTTTGTTACAAGTATATAAGCACAAGTACAAAGAATGTTTAGAGGGTTGATCAAGGGTGGCTCAACCGGTTTCGGGGCTTTAAGCGAACCAAAAATTTGGGTCCTTTGGCGTTTACTATCCAAGCCTGATTCCAAAATCCAACTTGACACAGTGAATATTTTAAGAAATTAAGCGTAATAGATAATCTGATAATTAGATATTCAGTTAATGGAAGGTTCAGAAGGAAAATTGATATGCATAAAACATATCAAACAAAAGTGAAAATTGATATGCATATAACATATCAAACAAAAGTCAATAAGTGATAAGCCTAATAAACTAATATGTCTAATAAAAGAAAAGAATCAACAATGGAGTTATCAGTCATGGATAATCTGAGGAAGAAGTCAATAACAATATACCGTTTCAACCTTTTAGGATTCAAGAATCAACTCTTAATACTTGACAGCCTTTCAGTTTTAACTTTTGATTTTTGAACAAAAAAAAGTCGATTAGAGTCGGGAAGAACAAAATCGAGAATCAACCAAGGAAGATCAGAAGAAGAACAGAGAACAAATTAGTAATGGTTTTTGCGGTTCTACTCAGAATGAAGAATCATAGAGTAGAGAATGAAAAGGAATCAAGGAACTCATGAAGATCAGAAGAAGAACAGTCACAAGTCTCTTGGCTGATGGAAATTTGTGGCGTGCGCAAATGCAGAATCGACATATTAGATTTGGGTTTAGTGGGGCCCCTTAAAATTAGGGGCCCTAAGCCCTTGCTTATTTTTTCTTAATGTAAGGTCGGCCCTGGGGTTGATGGTTAAAGAAGCCACACAAGATACATATTTTTCTGGTACGTACCATTGGCAACCCAAAAGTTTTTTTTGCTCAATTCCGTCCACCCTAAATCCATTCAAGATTCTGCACTAAAACACCTAGCACTCTCTCATTCATAAGGTTGTAGAAGCCTTCTTTAAAGTATT